TTGCAAATATCACTTTTCTTAAGGCTTATTTTGCCCCAACTAATTATAGTATGCAAAAGAGGTGAACCGAATACCTCCAAGATAAAATGAAGCCTTTTTCATTCTTACTTTGCACTAGTAAAACAAACCACTAAATACTCCTTGGTAAGAACAAAAATACCTTGTCTTCAATAAGGTTTTCTATAGAAAATAATGCTAAAAAAACTTGCATTTGAATGAGAAATGATTGGGAGAAAAAATAGAATTTTCTGAATTGTTATGTTGTATTTTGTTTTTTAAATGAACTCACGCCTATTGAGATTAAATCCTAAGGTTATGACTTTTTAATTGTGTTATTTTAAGCAAAGATCATTTCTTTTTTATTAGAAATATGTCTCGCTGAAAGATTATAAACATAATTGTTCATTTGAATAATTAAACTTTTCACGTAAAGAGAAACTATTTTTCATGTTTTTGAAAATTGTAACTTTTCATACAGAATAGTCAACTTCACTTAAAAGGCAATCGACTATCCCTTTATATTTCAAAATTTCATAATGCTTTTTGAAGTAGAGCAATTGACTTTTCTCATTTTATAGAATGCATTCAACATGTGTGCAATCAACTATTTCATATAGCATTCGACTCTTTTCATTTCCTAAAAGGTTCCAATTGCAACCTCTTATAGAGCAATCAATTTTCCTTCAATGGCTGACAATTGTTATGCAATAAATCAATTTCTAGAAGATTTTATAAATCTTAGCAATCAATTCTATTAGGGTTAGGAATCGATACCCACTTATTTATAACTTATAACAATCAACTACTATTTAATATAGAAACTTTGTTTAATTTTTGTTTGTCAAAGTAGTAAATTTCATGCCCTTGACTACTTACATGTATAACCTTCTTACTATGATTCTTTTAAGCCTGGCCCAAAATCATATATTTGATCTTAGGTATAGTTATTAGAACTGAACCGGATATTAAACCATTCAAGATTTAAAATCATCGGGTTAATAGTTCAATCATCAGGTTAATCGTGTTAATTGTCGGTTCAACAAAAAATATTATAAAAAATCTAAATATTTTAAAATTTTAAAATTCAAGCTTTTAAATCAAGTTATAATTTAATAATTCAACCATAAAATTATAAAATTTTAAGGTATATCATAATACAATTTTTAAAATATAAAATTCATAAAACAATTAATAACTAGTTAGAAATGAAATTACTTAACATTTTATTAAAATCATATTTTATATTTAAATAGACGGAAATAATATTTATTATTTTAATAAATATAATAAATAATAACTAATAAATAATTATAAATAATTATTATTATTTAAATTTATTAAAATATAAATATCATTTATTAATATATAATAATTAATCTTTATTAAATAAAAAAGAAATATCTATATATAAAATTAATAAAAAGGAAATATTTATATTTATATGAAAATTAGTAAAAAGGAAATTAAAATCATTTTTATATTTTTATGTGAATATAGATTTTTTATTAATTTTACATATATACATTTTTTATTAATTATTTTCGATCATTATCAAATAATTAATCATTTTTATTAACATTTCATTTTTTATTAATTTTATATATTATTAATTTTATAATTATTTTTTAATTATGGTATCAATTAATAAAATTTTTTGTTAGATCATTTTTTTTAAATTGTTTATTTTTACATGTGTACATTTTTTTGCAATATCATTATCCACATGTCTCAAAGTATGCCAACATATCATTAACATAAAGATATAAAGGTTTTGATAATAGAAAATAAAAGTTGAAGAGCTTATTTAGATGAAATAGTAGTATAAGTGATTAATTAGATTATTTTGAATACTTGAAGAGCTTTTTATCACATTTTACCTAAACTTATTAATTGGTATTGAACCAATCCAGTTCAAAAAAAAGTTCGGTTTACTGGTTTGTTATGTAAACCATCGATTTACAATGGTTTAAAGCGATTTAATTACAAAATTAGTCTAATTACAAAATCAAACCGGTTTCAACACTGGTTCATAGGTTCAGCTGATCGGACTAGCAGTCAGGTTCAGTTATGATAACTATAATTTTAGGAACTTTACCTTAAGCTATTTTATAGCTTAATTAGATTTCTCTTTGATTAAATTATTACTTAATCATATTTTCATATTTTGAAATTTTTTTCTACCATAAATGAACCAAAGATTGCTATGTTTGTGGTTCGTTTGTCTATTTATAGGGTTGTTCATGTTTGATATAAATTTTTTACACTATGATCAAGCTCAATTCACTTAAATATTAAAATGTTTGAGCTTGGTTTGGGATTAGTTCGTTTAAGTTAAATGAACTTGTATGTGAGTATTAAACAAATATATTCACGAATATATAAATGAACATAAACAAACATAAACTAATAACTAAGGAATTGATCTTGCAAATCAATTACTTGGGCTCTTAAGAGTTAAAGGGACTTGCCTATTTATAAAGAGCTTCCCTTCCCTACATTGGTTTTCCAAGCTATGAGGGATAAAAAGACTATAAACAAAAAACCTCCTTTAAACTTTTTTATGTCCATTTTAAGCAATTAAAAATTTTATTTACAATAATATTTTAAAACATTATGAAAGATTTGTAATATATATTAAGTGTACTTTTGAATGTATTGATATTAGAATGTGACTAAAATCATGTCAAAAGATATTTAATTATAAAGTAGACATCTTAAAAAGAATAAAAACAAAATACAAATAAGTATTTATTGAATTTGTTCACAAGCATTAAATAAATTTATTCACGAATATAAATGAACGAAACAAACCTTTATTCGTATTCAGTTCATTTATTAAATGAAATTAAAATGTTGTTTAAAATCATTTATTAAATTTAATAAATGAATATAAACAAACAAAAACATATTCATGAACAATTCATCAAAATATTCATTTACACCCTTTATATGAGCTTTACTCTCTCCTATATTGTAAAGTTATATTGAAATACTAATTATGAAAGATTTCTTGTTTATTAAACTATCATAATTTTAATAAGTGATTTATTTTATTTTTGATAAAAAATATTGTGGCATGTGGATATGTGTATAGAACTCGAGAAAAAAATTGGAGTGAATGAGTATTAAGTGTATATAATTATGGTGATTTTAATGAATAATGTGTTATGTTTAATCAAACAAAAGAAAAATATGGACTTTATAATAAATTATACTCCTTCCATCGTAAATTATTTGGATGTTATTGACTTTTACGAAGTTTAAGAAAAAAATTTTGATTTTAATATAATTAAGATTAATTTAAAATTTTTTTTACTAAAATTAAAGTTTCATGATTTTTAATGTTAAAAAGTAAAAATTCATTAAAAATTTTAAAATATAAAAAATAAAAATTTTAGATGTTTAAAAAAAAAAAAAGAAAGAAGATATAATCTTGAAACATCTTAAAAAAGAAAGAATGATGGACAAAGAAAATGAGATGGAGGAAGTAAAAGGTTATTATATTTTTTGTTATTTTAAATAATTAATTTTATTATATTTAGGAGATAGATTAAATTTACTATTTATCTTTTAACATGTGTAATTCTTTTATTATATTTTTCATTTAATTTAAAATGATCAAAATTTCATAATAAAAAAATTTTATAAAAATAAATAATATTTTTAAAATATTTATATTTTAATAGTTTTACTTTTTAAATAAACTTTAAAATAAAATTATAATCTTTCAAATAAAAATAAATGATAAATTTAATATTCAATCGAAAATAAATTTACATTTGTGGTTAAATTTCATTAATGAATTATGTGTTTAAAGTTAAATCTTAGCACATATAATTTTTGTTTTTATTTAAAATTCAAACGGCACATATAATTTATAATTTTATCTCAAATAACAAATGAAAAGAGTTATATGCGATACGAGGAATGAATTATTTAAATCTATGTTTGGATTAAGTGATGAGAAGAGATAATAAAAGAAAGCTGGGAAAAGGGGAAAACTTTATTTGGATATTATTTAAATTAAAACAAAAGAAAGAAGGAAGTCGAAAATCCCTTCATTTCCTTGAAGTGCTTCCCAATTATCTCAAAAAAAAAAAAAAAAGAGAAAAACTAAAAAAAGGAAAGAGGTAAAATGTTTTAAAATATAAATTGATATTTATATCATTATTATTTTCTTCAAATTTCAAAAAATACATTATAAATTTAATAAAATAATATTAATATTTACTTTTTATTATATCTAAACCCGTCTTTCTATTTATTTTATTTTCTTATAACTTTCATCAACTTCTTATAATATGATTTTCAAATTTATTTTTAAGAAAATTTTTGTATATATATATTTTTCTTTCTTTGTTTCTTTTTTTTTTTATTTATGTGAAAATGAACTTGAAATTATTATTAATTTGGGTAATCTACCATTGTCTATAATAAAAAGTGACCATATCCTTTATTTATTTTTTTAAAAATTTATGTTGTAGCCGTATATCTTTTTTTATATTTTCTTCCTATTTCTCAAATTTGAAAAAAAAATATGTACATGAAAAAACACATATAATTAGAGAAATTATGTTGATATTAATGGAACTTGTTAGATTTGTAAGAAAATATTAATATAAATTTATAATTAATATTATTTACTAATACATATCTAGATTTATGAATTTTTTTAATTTAAATTAATTCTGAAAAAAATATAAATGTATGGAAATAATTCTAAATATATATATATATATTCTTTTGTGGATTAATAAAAATCCATCTCTTTTATTAAAATTTTTCCTTTTTGACTTAAATAATTAATTTTTAAATTATTCAAGTAATAAATAAAAACATTTAATTTAAAAAGTATTTAAAAATATTATAATATATTATTATTTTTTCACTCTTCAATCAAATAATAATAGTTAATTTTTTTATTAATTTTAACTATAAAAAAAAATACAAATATCCTTTCTTTTTCTTTAAATAACTTTCATTTCCTTTCCTTTTATTTCCTTTAATAATATTTATCCAAACGTATACCAGTTCCTCTTACCCGTCGTATTTTCTGCTCCGTTCTGTCCTATAAATATAAATATAAATAAATAAATATATATATATATATAAAGTATAGTATTAGTGTATTAGTACTGGATTAGGGATTTCGTTTCGTTTCATTTTTCTTATAGCCACTCGATATAAAATTTCCAAGGAAAAATAACATAAAATAAAATCATATTTGTGTTTGCAGAGAAATTAGCCCTTTGAGTTCAAAGGAATCATCAAATGGCCTTGAATGTTAGCAGTGCATGTTTCTCAGTTTTCAGTTACAAGAAAGTTATCAGGATAAGAGCTGTTGCTTCTGAGGATTTTGCGTCTGCTGCTGCTCTCAAAACTGAAGAAGAAAGCAAGGTGAAGTTAGGAGGGTCAGAGCTCAAAGTGACAAAGCTTGGAATTGGAGCTTGGTCATGGGGTGACAACAGTTACTGGAACAACTTTGAATGGGATGGTAAAGTTTCACATTTCATCTCATAATTTGATACCCTTTTGGAAAGTTTGTTCCTTTTTCATTGATTTTTTACTCTCTATTTTTTTGTCTTTTGCATATCTTTTTCAGAAAAAGAACATTTTTGAATAACGGGTCTTTGCTTTTCATTTTTTTTCTTTACCATATTTTGATGTAATTCAATGCTTTCTTTCTTATTTGTGCTCTCTTCTTCATTAGCAGTTCCTATTTGTTGAGAGTTCTTTATGATTTTCATGGTTTGATGTTAGATTCAGTTTGTGCCATTGTCATGAAGCAAAATTCAGTTTGTTCCCTTTTTTTTTTTTTAACATCTGATTGATTTGAACTTTGCTGCGGAGGCAGAGAGGAAGTTGAAGGCTGCTAAGGCTGCTTTTGATGGCAGTATTGATCGTGGTATAACCTTTTTCGATACAGCTGAAGTTTATGGCTCTTGGGTAAAACGCCGGATCATCTATCTATTGGTTTATTTATTTTATTTTCTTTATTTGGATCAATATCATTGGTGGTTCCATTCTTGCAGCTGTCCTTGGGTGCCATCAATTCTGAAACTCTGCTGGGAAGGTACATTTTCTCCAATTTAATTGAGGAAGTCTCACTGGAGGCAGAATTATCTTGCTCTAATTTTGATATATGTCTGCCTGCTTTCTCTTGTAACAAGCTACATTGTTTGTTAAAGATTTATAAAGGAAAGCAAAGTAAAGAATCCTGGTGTGGAAGTTGCTGTTGCAACAAAGTTTGCAGCTCTGCCTTGGAGGTTCGGTCGTCAGAGTGTCCTCAATGCACTCAAGGATTCAATTGGTCGGCTTGGGCTTTCATCAGTAGACCTTTATCAACTCCATTGGTCTGTGCTCACAATGCTTTATAGGGCTTATCAATTGTATTTCTGAAAAAGTAATTCCTCACTATTTTTTCTATTTACTTTCAGGCCTGGTGTTTGGGGAAATGAAGGTTGTTTGCAACTCCACCATTTCATTGAAGATTTGACTTTATGTAGCTAACAGTTGGATGTTTAAACAGCCCAATCATGTTGAATAGAGGCTGAGTTCACTGAAAAACCATTTTTCAGGGTACATTGATGGTCTCGGTGATGCTGTTGAGCAGGGCCTAGTGAAGGCTGTTGGTGTCTCAAACTATAATGGTAATATTTTTGCTGTCAGTTACTGATTGGCGCAATTCAGTTTGACTTTGAACTGTACCAAGTCTTCTACAAATAGTCTATTTCTTAAACAAGTTACTGTTTTTTATATGAAAATTTTCATTTCGGACTAGGCTTTCCCTTGTAATTATCTTAATGTAAAAAAAATTTCCTACTTCAGAGAGGCGACTTCGGGATGCTTATGAGAAACTTAAGAAGAGAGGAATTCCACTAGCCTCGAACCAAGTAAATTACAGTCTCATATACAGGGCACCAGAGCAAAATGGAGTAAAGGCTGCATGTGATGAACTTGGGATCACTTTGATTGCATATTGTCCTATTGCACAAGGTAATATCCATATTCTTTTGTTTAATTGTTTCTTTATATTTTTTGATAGATGAGTCTTTTGTTGTCTGTCAGGATATTGAGGGAAGAAGATAACAAATTAGCATGTTAGGCGTTATGGGTTCTTCTGTGAATTTGTATATAAGAGACCTGAAATCAAATGAAATTGGAAATATTTGAGCAATTTGGCCTAAAATTAGAAAGTGAATTCATACTTGACAGGAATAAGACTGGCTTACCATTTAGCTGAAAATTTTCAAGAATTAAATGTTTGAGCTTATCTTTTTTCTCTTTTATTTCTCAGTTTGCTCTCAGCACATGGTTTCTTATTGGTTTTAAAACTACAGTGCAGTAGCAAGAATCAGCTGTACTTGTTGAACCCAAATTTATCACTTAGTTCCAACCATATATTACATTGTTTATTTTTCGAACAAAGGCAGTACCTTGTTTGTGTATGTGTGTGTGTGTATGTGTGTGTGCGCGCGTGTGCATATCTTTGTATTCAAACATGCACGCAACATATGTGCCCGTTTATGTCTGTCTGTATTTTACATATTGATCAGTACTCTAGTAGTTGTCCATGTGTCCATAGAGTGGATATCTTACCAGAGTTTTTTTTTTTTTTTTTCCTTTGTATCAAGTTTATTAGTTCCTGTTACCAAGAGCAGAATGTATTGCTTACTATATGAATGTGCAAGTTCAATATCCACAAAAATGAACAGTAAACAAATTCAAATAAGTAGAGTTTGGGAACAACAAGCTATGTCAAATTTATGTCCACCATGGTGCAGAAAATGAATGTGGCAATATATATTCTTTTAGCACAAGGAGGGTACCGTATCATCTTCTTTCTTTGCAGGTGCCCTTACAGGGAAATATACACCAGAAAATCTACCAACTGGGCCTCGAGCCAAGATTTACACTCCAGAGTTTTTAACTAAGGTAAGTCTCTAGAGTGTTTCATATCCCAATATTAATTTCACACTTGATTGCTAAGGTCTTTATAAATATGCAGCTCCAACCTCTCCTTAACAGAATTAAGGAAATAGGAAAGAACTATGACAAAACTCCAACTCAGGTTTGTTCTTGTTCTTTTGCTATTATATCTGTTTACAACTGTCTATAGGTCTGCTGCCTCAAGCGTAAGGGCATATTAACAGTATTTAGCAAAAAGACTCCTGCATTAGCAACTCAATATTAATGTGCATAAGCTTTGATGGCATTTTTCTTTTTTTTTATTTATTTTTATTTTCCGGTGTAAGATGTGAGCTAAGCTCAATTACTTCCATGGACACTTTACAGTCTACAATAACCTCATGAGTCATGACCTACACCAGCTGGAGTCTAAAAACAGTGGTGCCAGTGGGAAAGTTTTGGCCCAAGTCGGTCAAGAAATTGACACTAGTCTTCTCTAAAAGCATGTTTGACTTCCATAATCGATTCCTCGACCAAAAGGCATATACAGTTATGCACCAAGATCGCATGTGGATGACTTGAATTATCTCCTTCTCAAACAGCTTTTACAGCCATCTCTTGATCTATCTGTACCATCGGACAAGAAAAAACCACAAAGCTTTGCAAGCCTCAAGCCCTCTCTAATACCATTCATCATGAGCCGTGACTACTAGATGTGGGATTTTAAAATGTGCTGAGATCTTATACAAAATGAGCTTGTTTTCTATAGGTTGTGCTCAACTGGTTAATAGCCCAGGAGAATGTAGTGCCAATCCCAGGAGCCAAAAATAATGAACAAGCTGAGGAATTTGCAGGTGCACTTGGGTGGAGACTAAGCAATGAAGAAGTTGATGAGCTACGCTCACTGGCTTCAGAAACAAGTCCTGTTATCGGTTTCCCTGTTGAGAGCCTATAAAGCTTTTCGCTCCAAATAAGAGCAACTTCAGTCCTGATTGTCAATCAATAGTATCAATAACTCATTTCCTATTATTGGTTCCTCCGTCTCTCTGCCTGTTTGTCAGCTACGATATCACGATGTATGTGTTGGTTTGGGTGCATTTCTTTGTAGCATTCCACTCAATTTTTGTGGAAAACAATCTGCAATCATTTTGCAGTTCCTCTAATATAAACCAATTTAAACTCTTTAACTTGCTTCTGCAACAATTCAATATCCTGAATAATCGGATCTAATCTTCTTCTTCTTTTGACTGTCTATGGCATCACTTGCCGAGTATCCGTTTGTACAATTACCTTCTGAAATTCTTCCTTCATAGTAAGCATTACCCCACTCTTAACATCTAAAGCCTCAGCTAAACCCTAAATCCAGTGTCTCCACCTTCTGACGAAGGGGACACATAGGATTCTCCACGGTTCTCTTTTGCTAGGTTAGCCGGGACAGCCGAGGAATTAGAACACAATCTTGATTGCCTGGTGTCCTGAATTAATAAAATAGGATGCTTGTTGCTCAGAAGCCCAAGCCAATTTATCCTCTACTCCTATTGGACAGATAGGAATATTTTGGATTGCAACCTTTGCTTCCTAAGTAATCCAATCTCCTATTGCTTCCATATTCCAAATCCCTTGATCCCTATCAATCCATTCTGCAACTTTCTCAGGCTGAGGCTCTACTTGCCCCTCCTTTTACTTATTCCCATCACCCATTTATCCTGCAATATTAGTACAAACTTTCCAATTCTCTCCAATCATGATTTTAATTTTATTCTCAAATTTTTCTTTTTTTTTTCCATTTTTTTAAATTTTTTTCTTTTCTGATTTTAATTTTTTAATTTTTATTGATTTTCAAATTTTTTATAAAATAAGTATTAAAAAGAAAAGAAATAAAAATAATTGGAAAACTAATAAAAATGTAAAAAAAGAAAATAAAACTTACAAATGGACAAGTCAACTCTTATTGGGCTCAAAGCCCAATTAGCAAATTAAAAACTCAATTAATAATTTAGCATCCAAGCAAACCTCAAAATCCAATTAGCAATTTAAAAGCTCAAAGGCAGCAAAAAATTCAAAAAAAAAAAAAATTAAACCAATTTAGGGTTGTTTGTTTCGTAAAAAATGATATTTGAAAAATTATTTTTAAAAAGTGTTTACATTTTTTGAATTAAAAGAGATTTTTTAGTATTTGGATGAGTTAATAAAAATTATTTTTCGTTGTTTGATTATTTTCTAAAAAATCTATTTTTTTTCAAATAATATTAATATAACTATTAAAATATTAAAATTATTTATTATTAAAATATATTGAAATTATTTATTATTAAAATTATTAATATTAAAAAATAATTATATTTTAATAATATTATTTAATATTAAAATATTATGTTAATATAAAAAATACTTAAAATAAAACTACTTATTATTCTTTATATTATTTATTAAGATATTATAATATTATTTATTAATAATATTTAGTAATATATTATATTAATAGTTATTATTTATTAATAATTTATTATTTATTCATATATTATTATAATATTTATTAATTAAATTAATAATATTATTATATGTTTTATTGATATAATACTATTTATTAATATATTATAATATTATTTATTAATATAATACTATTTATGAATAACATTATGCTCAAAAGCATTGATAAATAATTCTTCTCATAGACAATTCTTTTTTGAAAATTCTTTTTGTTTAAATCCGCAAGACAATTTCTAAAAGAATGATCTAATTTTTCATTGACCAGTAAGTCATTTTTTACTTACTTTGATGATCAACTAATTTTTTATGAAACAAAGCATTGAAAATATAAAAATCACTTTTTTAAAAGTCATTTTTTCTAAAACAAACAAAGCCTTAATAAAATTTGATTATGAATGGAAATAACCATTTCAATTTTGAATATTAATTAAAATAAGCTTAAATTAAACCAACCAAACTAAAAGGAAATTGACTTAATAATTTAATTCAAGTTAATCCATTTTTAAAAAAAAAAACTTTAAAAAGTTCCATGTTTAAAAAATCCAATCAGGTTAGTCAAGAGAACCTTATTGCTTAATGACATCCAACTTTTAAATCTTTGCCATAGCCAACTTGTCCCATCCCAACTTTTCCTGTGAATCTTTCTTTCATCCAACTTCTATTCCCACCAAAACTTTGTCACAACACTATTCAACTCATCACTTGTCTTTTTAGGGATCTTGAAGAAGCTATAGTATAAGTAAGGATTGCACTTTGCCACTGCCTTTAAATTTTTTGAGTAAAAGAATATTAGGAAATTAAAAAAATATATATTATTATGTCCGGACTTTAGGGTTAATTCAGCATTAAGATTGATTTTTGCATTTAGAAATTTATTTATTTAACCTCAAGTTAAACAACAAAAATATGTAGCTTTTTCGTACAAAGGTCTAATTATAAACACAGACAAAAAAGCTTCTAAAGATGTGCTTTTGCAATCAGTCACATTTTTTGTGAGCAAAATTATTTTGTTAGTATGCTAATATCTTTAATTTTTTATTATTTTATGCATATATTTTTGAATATTTCAATTCACTATAGCACTTTTTTTATAATAATATTAAACATTTAAGTTATGTTTGATGTATAAAATTATAATAAGATAAGATAATATAATATTATAAGTAATATTAAATTAAATAATATTATCTTATTTTATGTTTAATATATACAAAAATTATAATAGATAATTATTCTATTTATTAAAATTATCTTTTCTTAAAGTTTATATAATTTAAATTATTGATATAACTTTTAAAAGTATAATTAAATATGTACGTTTAATTTTATAAATTAAAAATAAATTTTTTCACTTGAAAAAAATTAAATAATCTTATGTTAAGAGAATATTAATTCTCTTTACAATTCTTATCTTTCCTTTAAATACAAATCAATAATAATACAAATCAATAATAATATAAGATAATTAATATCATGTTTTATCAATAATTTTATGCATTAAATATAATCTTAAATTTTTAAATTATATTTTTTTATTACAATTTTAAATATATTTTTTAACTCAAAATTTTTTTTAAGTGTAACGTTAATGCTAAATTAGATCTTATCCTCTAACATAACTTGTTTAATTGTAATTAAAAAAAAATCATGGAACAGGAGGCTCCGACAGGGCAGATGACGAGTACGAAATTGAGTTGGCAAAAACATTTTGTCTGACAACATTGTCCGCTATCATAGCCCCAATTAAAAACATGTTTCTTTGCATACGTGGCATTCTTCTGCGCTCTTTGGGATCACGCGCTCCATAGGCGTCAAGTAATAGATTTTGAAATCCCACAGTTTTTTGCACCTGATCTGATCTGGCCCTCTCGAAAAACGGAACCCATTTAATCATACGCCACGTGGACATTAATCGTGCCTTACTGTAACAAAATAATTGCACAGTACTTACAGCAGAATCTTCCCTCTCTGAACTCTCTGTCATTTCACTGTCTATTTCTTCTCTCTCTCTCTCTCTCTCTCAATCTTCTCAGTCACATTTCCAAAGCAAACAGAAACAGCTGCAGCTTTACTCAGGAATCAGCTTCTCTTTTTCTTTGCATACTGCTTTTGATTTCATTTCATTTCCGGGTTTGTTTTTTTTCCTCTGTTCTTTTTGTGTTTTGAAGTTTCTTGCTTTTGCTGCTCAATTCATTTTGCTTGTTATCTTTTCTCAGGATGTCTCTAATAGTCTAATGTTTCTGCATATTTTTTTTTCTTTTGCTTAGTTTTTTTAGTTTTTAATTTCTTATAGAAAGATTTGTTCTTTTTTCTTTTTGTATAGTAATAATTGAAGCTGTTTTTTTTTTCTCATCTACTGTAACTTTTAGTTGCTTCCCCCTTTCATTCTGAGGAAAAGAAATTCCAAATAAATTATGAATCAAATAGAATCCCACTTGTTATCATTATTTTAATTAGAGTTTCATCATTGCTCTGTTTTTACTCTTTTAGGACATGGAATAGAATGTTTCCCTATATAGTATACAAAATATTCAATTCAATATCGTTTTTTTAATTTCATAGTCAATTATTACTTTATTTATTAACTAATAATTTATTTTCTGTCAGCTGGGTTTGCAATTTCCATCTGCAGTTAATTAAAATCTGGGTCTTTTTTATTGGCTTGCAGGGCATCTGTCAGCTTAGCCATGAACCACTGTATTCCTGAGTGGAGTTTTGAGTATGATCTCCCAGTCTCCAATCATAGAAAACGATTGGGGTCTGCATACGATCTTTACTCATTCTTAACTTTGCTTTTGAATCTTTTGGAGTCTGTTGAAATTATATATTTTTCTTTTTGTCCAAAATTTGCAGCCAAGACAATGAGCTGGTGGAGCTGTTATGGCAAAATGGACAGGTAGTTTTGCACAGCCAAACTCACAGAAAAAATGTACCAAACCCCTGTGAGTCTAGACAAGTAGAAAAGAATGATCAACCAACATCAAGAGGGGGTACTACCAGCTTATCATATGGAAATTCAAGTAATCTAATTCATGATGATGAAACAGTCTCATGGATCCAATACCCCATTGAAGATTCCTTTGAGAAAGAGTTTTGTTCCAACTTTTTCTCTGAATTTCCATCACCTGTTCCAATGGAAGCTGATAACAATAAGCCCAACAGACAATTGAAGCAACATCAACAACAGTTTGTCAAGTCTAGTGCTGCCTCCCCTACTATCTTTAATAAGACTGCAAATTCACAGGAACTTAATGTTAGTTCTGCGGCTCAAGAATTTCAGGGAAACCCTATGCCGCCTCCAAAATTTCAGTTTGATTCAACCCAACAGAATAAAAATTCAGAAGGTTTAGGCAAAGTTCTTAATTTTTCGCCTGTAACAGAACATACAGGGGTGAAGAGTAGTGGCGGCAACCTGATACAAAGAGAAGTTAAGGACAGTTCAGGAATGAAAGTTGGATCAAGCTATTGTGGCAGCAATCAAATTCGAAATGATGTTAACCTTAGCCGAGGATCAAGCAATTGGTTTGGAACTACAACTACTGGTTTATCTGCAGGGACTTCGAAAGATGATGCTCGAAAAACAATTGTTCAGATTGAGAAAGGAAAAACTGAGACGATTGAACCTACTGTTACTTCTTCTTCTGGTGCAACATGCAAGCAATCAACTGGGGTCATCAGTAGCCATAAAAGGAAGAGCAGAGATGGTGAAAACAATGAGTGCCAAAGTGAGGTTGAAACTTGCTTTCACATTTTTTTACATTTTTCTTTTTACGTGAGATATCATTTAAAGTACAAACATAAATTGTTTTCTACTTCTTCAGGCTGCTGAATTACAATCAGCTGCTGGAAATAAGTCAGCCCAACGATCTGGGTCTTCCCGCCGGAGTCGTGCTGCCGAAGTGCATAATCTATCGGAGAGGGTAGGAATAGTATACACTAATAATTCGGAACTCTTTAAGTTCTGTGTATGGTTGCAAAGAAATTTTTTTTTTTTTTTGGTATATGAGGTTTCAGGATGTGATTTTGATCGAACTAAAAATCCAGCACTCCACTTACAAATCACAAGACTGTTGGCATAGTTACAAAGAATTTTACTTGTATGTATACGTGGATGTGTCTGTTTGCTCATAAAATTGCTTGTAATATTTCTGCAGAGACGGAGGGATAGGATCAATGAGAAGATGCGAGCGTTACAAGAGCTCATACCTCACTGCAACAAGGTCATTTACAGCTTTTAGGCTATAGTAAACTATTTTTTCCTTTGTCCGAATTTCATTGTTTCCTGGAGAAGACAAATATAATTTCATGCATTAAAAACAACTAAAATGATGATACAATGAACTGATCAGAGTGAAGTAATCATATATAACAGAATTAATCTTAATGCTGCAGTCAGACAAGGCATCTATGCTAGATGAGGCAATTGAATATTTGAAGTCGCTTCAGTTACAGCTTCAGGTATGAATGCTGTAGAATCACTTGAATTGGTTTTTCCATTTGCAATCACTTGTGCCATTTACAGCCTGATTTAGGTGTTTCAGGTAATGTGGATGGGAAGTGGGATGGCCCCAATGATGTTTCCAGGAATCCAGCATTATATGTCCCGCATGGGAATGGGAATGGGTCCACCTGCATTCCCTTCCATTCACAATCCTTTGCATCTTTCTAGGGCGCCAGTAGTTGATCAGTCCATCTCTATGGCTTTTCCTTCACAAAACCAAGCTGCAACATGCCAAACTCAACAGTTGAATCAAGTGAATTACCCACATCATATGCAAAATCCCATCTTTGCGGAGCAATATGCACGTTTTTTGGGCTTTCATCATATGCAAACTGCCTCTCAGGTGTGTCCTGCATTGCATTAATTACTTTCCCAACAAGATTTTTTTTCTTGAGTTTCAATTGATGGAAATAATCACCTTAAGCATACTATTATTGTCTTGCAGCCCATGAATATGTTTGGATATGGTTCCCAAACTACACCGCAAAGTCCAATGGTATTAGCCCCCAGCAGTTGCAGTATACCACTCACGGGAGGGGCAGCTACAATCAATAACACTTCTCTTAGTGGCAAGATGGGTAAATGTCTTAATTATTCTTCTTTAACTCTTAGTTTTAGTCATCAAGATTCCAATTCTCATAGTCTGATTACCAAGAAAAAAAAGGTTTTCATATGAGAAATGTGGGAATAATTGTTCATATTTGATGGTATGATACTATCATACGTCTTCCCATGTGGCATTATGTAATTGAACCAATGTCAACTTCATCTCCTGCCATATTGGGGTTTGGCCACAATTCTTTTTTATGTCTTTGTGCATGCACCAGTTAGATAAATAATTAATACCCAAAAAGAACAGACCCGAAATGGATTCTTTTCCTGTCATCCACTAATTTCGTTTTCAAAACGAATTCATCCACCTCAATAAAAGCTAGAAATTTTCATTTACTTTTCTTTGTTATGTGTTAAAATCTATTCCCACTTGAATTCCTTACCATCCAACAATTTTTCAGTTCATAGAATCATTGTAATTTTCTCCATATGATATTTGACAGGTTAACTAAAGAGAAGGCAAGGGGGTCCATAACAACTTGGTAGAAGCTGATACTGCTTAATATGCAGTGACTTTCTTTCTCAATCAGTAGCCATGCCAAAAGGCCCAGTGTCCATCGTCAATGTCCTATATGCATATATCAATGAGACAGCCACTACCAGAGTTATAATCACTCTCTCAACCAGGCGTTGAATTTGTTCTATGACCACCATGTCATTGAATTTGGTCGTAAGATTTGATTTCAGGATGAAAACAAGATATCAAGTGTGCTGCTACTGGCTTGGATTCTGGTAAATAAGACAGCTACCGACATTTTCTTGTTTGCTTGCTTAGAAGAGGAAGTAATGCTTGTTCCCCCCAGTCTGTAAAATTTTTAGCCATTTCTTTATTTTGAATTATAATAGCTGTCTGATTGCAGGAAGGAATAAATTTGTTAAGAGATCCTTGTAATCTTAAGCTCTATTTTTTTTTATGACACAATATGTATGATAGCAAATTTTCAATCATAATCATATAATATTCAACATACTATATGGAACAATACTAACTATAAGCAAATCAAATGAATAAATTCAACCACTCCCACATATATGTACAGAGACTTCAACCACGGACAAGTTTGAGGGCGCCTGTTCTCTTGAATACAATAATTATTTTTTTTTTTTAGTGAGAAGGAGTTTTTAAGCTTCACCTAGTACATTTCTTCTTTTGACTGTTTCAAATAAATTTATTTATGTTGAATTTTACAGATTTATGAAAAATTATCTTCTCATAATCTTTCACAATCTTCCATAGACTCGAACCCAAGCAACAAAGAGAAGAGTACATTCTGTGTGTCACTTAAGTCAACCGCTGTTGGTGAATACAATAAATTTAAAAGTTTTGATTTTACGGATTATGAAATTTATCACAAAATTTTGAGGTGATTTAACCATTGTTCAAGTTGACCGTTTTTACAATGATGTTTGAGAGTGTACAAGGCTGAGTATTGCACTTACAAGCAAGCTAAAGTGATGGATATGCATTTTGGAGTACAGCTAGCCAATGATCTCAGCTAATGTTTTTTTACGAAGACAAAGGATAAGGAGATTCTTTGCTAGTGATTATGTAGTAGGAAAGTGTGGAAAATAGACAGCTAGATATTTTGATAATGCTTCATGGTCATATTCTTTCATCTTCATTTTCCCTTCTTTTCCTCGTTTTATATGGGAGGAAATAAACTGTTTTTGGCCCTTATAGGTCGGCAAACAAAAGTTGATTCTTATATTTATCATTTTATTTTATATTTTTTACAATTTTTGACATACTAGTATTTTCTCCATCTCATATATAATATCTTATTTGATTATTTTTAATTGTTTTAAAATAATATCTTATTTAAAAAGAAAAAAGTCATATATCCTTACTTTTTTTTTATTACCCTTAACTATATCTTCATTTTTTTTCTCTATTTTCAAGATAATTAAAGTAATTAAAAAAATTTTATAATAAATGAAAGTTCAAATTCAACTCAAATTTTCTTAAATGTTGATCAAAGTCAAAATCAATGTAATATAGACTTAGATCGAGTTTAATGCAAATGATTATTGATAGGATAGTATAATAATCATCTTATATTATATTTAATTTGTATTTAAAGAAAGTGATAAAGATTGTAAGGAGAATTAATATCCTATTAGTATAAGAATATTCAATCTTCTCCAAATGGAGAGGATTATTTTTAATCCATATAATTAAATTTACTTGTCAATTATACCCTTAAAAATTATATCAATAATTTAAATTGTATAAATTTTGAAAAAAAATAATCTTGATAAATAAAAAAAATTATCATATGCTAATCATTGTATATATTAAATATAAAATATGATGATATTATCTAATTTAATTCTATTCATAATATCATCCTATTATGTCCTATCATAATATGAGTCAAAGGAGTAAGTGTGTGGATGAGAGAGAGAAATATTGAAAATGCACTTTTTTTATTTGAAATTAAGACCAAATTTATCATCATGTTATGAGGTTTGTATTTTATCATTATATTTTAATTTCATATAAATTTTATAACTATACTTTAATTTTCAATAATTTTTGAATTAAAAAATAAAATAATGCACTTGAGGTCACATCGTCTATGTATGCTTATAGCAAATCAATTTATGTAAGCTTAATTTCTTTTTAAAGATAAAAAAAAAAAAAAGGTAAAAACTAAAAAGTTATATTTTTAGAATAATCCTCATATAATTTGAACCCAATAATAATAGTAACTCTAAGGATTTAGGATAATTCCAGTGGCAGCTCTACAAGCCATTAAAATTTTGCTATCATGTCCTAAATATTTGAAAATGAACTATTAAGTCCTACAAGTACTCATGATTTTCTAATGGAGTATTTTTGTTACTTAGCCATTAGGAAAAAAGTTGCTGTGGCACTTAGATTTTACTATATTTTAAATACATGTTAGAATATTTTAATGCCATATGTGTCAATATATGGCATTGATATTTATTTTCTTTAATTTGTTCTAGTTTTTGAAAAGTTAAAAAAAAATTGTTTATGTTTAAATTTTTTTTTCCAAAGAATGAGAGATTCGAAGAGTTGAGAATACATGTACTTTCACTAAACCAAATATATACCATATATTAAAAATAATTACATAATGAAATGTTTATTTGATTAGTATATCCTATCATTTTAGATACGATAAAAAATCATATGTGTTTAAAAAAAAAACGTATCTCATATTTATTCGTGTCAACATAAATTTTGATATAATATAATTCATATTTTATACATGTTGACACGTTTAAATATATATAAGATACAAAAAAAATATTTAGATAAAACGTGTTATATGAATACATGTTTACTATGTAATATGATATAAAAAAGATGTTTAATTTAATCATTTCACACGAGTACATATTTAATAAGTTTAACATATTTTTTATATTTATTTTAATTTAATATAAACATATAAAGATTATTTTAATTTTTTATTTTTTAATTATGATACTTAATTAACTATTTAATATCATATAAAGATTATTTTAAACATCTAATTATAATACACATTTAATAATTATTACAAAATTATTTTTATATTAATAATATAAATACAATATAAATAATAATATTAGTATGATACATCATTATTTTATTTTTTTATTTTTAGTAGTTCATCATTTGGGATTTCATATTAAAAACTAATATCATTATGTATACATTTATGATTGTTATATTAGTAATATATATATATATGTATACATATATATATATTAAAATTTAAATATATATTAAATGCATATTAAATGAGTATCAATATTTTTTTATACTTTTTAATATGCAAGTACTTTTTTATATTAATAATGTATATATTACATATATATATATCTTAACATATTAAATATATATTTTTTTGTAACTTTTTTAACAAGATTTAAAAAAAGTTTTTTATTAAAAGGAATTGAGAAGGAATTGTTAATTAAAGTAATATCCAACATTATAGTTATTGATCAAGCAACACAAATCCAAATCACATAAACATACAATAACATATTATACTAATAATAAATAACATTTATAATGATAAGAAATTATATGATCATCTTAATAACATGAATCACAATATTCGAATATTTTAAATCACGAGACTTAAAATAAGAGATTCTATATTTGAAATTAAAAATAACATATATTCTAAATAATATGCATAATGATAAAAATTATATAATTTATTTTATATTACATATATGATATGATATTATTAAAACATAAGTTATAAATTATTAATATAAGTACACATCTCGATTATCGATTTTAAATAATTTATTCTAAATCATATGATAAGAGATTATAAATTTGAAATTAAACATAACATATTTATTCTAAATAACATTTATAACAATAAGAGATTATATAATTTATATTTCTATATCACTAAATAATGTATTATTATAATGTAATTTATGCACTCATCTTAAAGACTTATTTTATATATTTTATTCTAAAATCTAAATCACATCATATAATACCCATTTATAATTATAAGAGATTATATAATTTATTCTAAATCATATGTATGTATGAGTATACCCATGATAACTAAAATATGTAATTTATTTTAATCATATTATAATGTATAAAAAATTATTAAAAGTAATATAAATATATTGATTTGACTTTAAAAATATATCAATTTGATATTTTTCAGTAATTTTAATAATTTATTAGGATCTTTTGCAAATAATGATGCTAATTAAGTAATTATTGAAAATATATAGTAATATTTATATATTAGAAAAAAAATCTAGTATCAATATATTAATATAACGTATAATTAAAAATGAAGGAACATCACTTATGAATGTTAGAGAATTGTATTTGATGTAGTGTAATTTATACTATGTAAATGTGTAATAAGGCATAAGTTAGTGACTATTATGTAGTGTTTAGTGTCTTACGAATTTAGTACTTAGTCTTACTTTGTTAATGCTTAATTGTAACTTGTAAGTTATAAATGATGAATAGTTTATAATTATTTATTATTTTAATCGTATTTTTATATATATTCGTGTTAGTCGTATCTATTCATATATATCAATGTTTATTCATATCGTGTTTAAATGAATTAATTATACATATGTTATTCGTATTATGTCGTGTTGAGTGTAACACAAATAATACACATGTCATGTTTGTATTTAAGATTTAAACATATTTTATAATTTATATTGTGTTCGTGTTTTAATAATTCATGTCATTATATGTGTTAAATACAACATGAGACAATATGAAACAGAAATTGCTAGGTGTATTTGACATTTGGGAGATTTCAATTGGTTAGAATTTTTTTTAACTTAACTAAAGAAAATTTGAAGATAAATGGATAAAACCAAAAAAAAAAAAAGGGGGGGGGATCGAGAAAGTAAAGAAAAAAGAATTTAAAAAAGGGAGGAAGAATCAAGAGTTTTGGAGATTGAGAGATTAGAAAAAGAAAAAGGGTAACAATGAAAAGAAATTAAAAAAGAAGAATAAAGAGAGGAATAGGAGAAAAACCCAAAGAAAGGAAGATAAAAAGATCAGAAGACTAGAGATTAAAAAAAAATAGAGAAAAAGGGGAAAGAAAAAGAAGGTAAATAGTGGAAATTGATTGTGGTGGCTAGAGATATTTCCAATAGAAAAAAAAGTTAAAAAGGAATGAAGAATAAAGGAAAATTTGAAAAAAAAAATCTGATATTAATCCGATTGGTTCTTTCTTTTCCTTTTTTTTTCTGTTATATAATTTTGTCTTTTTATTTTTCAATTTTCTTAATATTTGCAAGATTATTATTTTGGAGCTTATTTCAGCAATTGTAATTTCAATAAGATTTTTCATTGTTTGTAGTACTCTAATTCAACTTTATTTGTAGATTCTTTTATTTCTTCCTATTTTTCTTTGAAATTTT